CCTTTAGTAATGGATTTTTGTGTGTTGGGGGAAGGGGAGGGCTTGGGAGAGGTAAATGTACTGGAAAAGAATCTTGGAGAGACTCTGATGTATCTGAAGTGCCTGCTGCATTTCTGTGTATATTGGGAGATAAAGTGTGACAGTATTGGCTTTACCAGAACAGGGGCCTTCTTTTCTTGCTTCTGAAATTTTACCAAGTGTTAAGACTTCAATCAGTCTAGTACCTGGGGTTGTGCTGGTATTAACTTAAAATATTTTTACATCTTCTGTTTAAGAAAATAAAATCCTCTCGATTCACCTGTGTTCAAAAAAATATCTCTAAACTTACATTGCAGATTTACAGTTTTGCCTCAATCATAAAAATGAATGAGTTATTTACTAAATTGGGTTTAGAGGGTGATTTGAGAGCATAAATGTGAAAAGCCATTCAGAAACATGCAGCAGAAATGTTTTAGGGCCTAACTTACTGTGTTTTCCCCGGTTACTCCCTTTTTTCTCCAGGCAGACAAAGTCTTTGAACTTAATACACATGAACAGTATTACTTAGGAGACGTTGGAGTTCATTAGCCCAAGCGAGGTTGCTGCTATCAGTTGGCTAAATGCTCTTGCCCTACAGGTGTTCATAATAAGACATCTGTCTATGGTCAGTGGAGTCAAGATTGCCTGTCGTTAGCCAGTATCAGTGAACTACCAATATTTCAAGTCTTTTAAAAATATGTTTAAATTAATTTGTCTTCAGAAAATAAAATCAGATTTTATTTTGTGTTCTGGGCAGGAGTACGAAGTTTGAAAATTATTATTTCTTGCTCAAAGGAGAAATGACTTGCAATTTCACGTAAGATACTCCTCATTTCTTCTTCATCTCTGGAACTGAAAAATATTTTAAACCATTGCTTTTATATTTGATGCACTGCATTTCTGGGGTTTTCTCAAAAGTGATTCAGTTCTGTCTGTACAGGTGTGGTACATTTGCTGTTTCTCAGGCTAGAAAGTATACAAATCAGTCTCCTCTAAGACAAACCAATTCCTCCATTAATTTCAGAGTTCTTAATAAAACTGTTCTTTGCTTGTGTCTTAAACTGGGTGTTAGTGTGAAAAAAAAAGTTTGGGGATTAGGCTGTTGACAGCAAAGGGGAACAGCACTTCAAAATGAGGGGTAGCAGTTTTCACCCTGTGTTTATGCAGGTTCTGTGTGCGTTTACTTTGTGGTGAAATTATTTTGTATAAAATATAGGTCTGTACAACATGCAAGCCCTCTTACTCTGCAGATATAGGTAGATATTTATGCACAGAGAATATGCATGCAGTGATACCTTAATCAATTTTTGGCAGATGGTAGCAGTCCTTCTGCTTGCCTTATATGTATCTGCACGTTGGCTTCAGAGGAGCTCCAGGCAGGGTCTGTAGATTGAGTCCGTTCTGATACGGATAAGCCTGACTTTCCCCAGTAGTTGAGATGAGGTGTTGAAGCCATCCATCTAAATACACGTGTGAGATTGTTTGCCTTTCAAGTTCAGAGGTAGTTATCTGTAAGTAATCACTCGGGATGAAATCTTGGCCCTTGGTCACTTCTTAATAAGATCGTTAAGGCACAATGCCTGTTACTTTAATAGGGTTGAGACTGTTCTGGGGTTAAGTAAAATGAATTTGCCATCAGGAAGAAAGAAGTGGTGAGGAGCTGGTTGTCTGAAATGTCATTTTGTTAATTTGGGTGTGTTGGTAGCTTGGTATGCTGCACTAAAATTAGATTGTATAAATAAGCAAACTTGCTTTCCTCAAAAGAAAACTGATTGAAAACATAACATACAATCCATCTTAGTAAAACACTGTATGTTTAAAATCTGTTTTAATAGGTGCACTATAAAATCAGTGTCATACTAAAATGAAGAGTGACATGCGGAGGGTTTCAGTGATATGAGAACTGTTTCAAATGTTTGAAATTTTACTGTTGGAATGAGTCTGTCATCTTCAGCCACGCTTACGATGTGGTTTGAAAGGTCAGGGTGCCTTCTAGAAAGCCCCCCCAAAAATGCAGTAAGATTTTTCTCAGGCTATCTTTTTTTTCTTTTCTGCCTCTAAAAGTGTATGCTTAAGGAGTTGCTGATAAAGCTTAGCGTGGTGACTGTGTTTGGGGACTGCCTGAGGAAGGCTTTAAATTTTACAGCTACATTATCTTTCTGGCCATAGTTAAGATAAAGATCTAATATAAAATCACTTTGGACTGTAATACTTTCCCTAAATGAAATGAAGGCGTTAACCTACTTGATGTGATACACTTTAGCTTATAAAGCTGGAAGAAAGGTGAGGTAAACTTTAATTAAAGCTACAGCACAGATGCCTTCTAGCACTGTGCCCTGTACCTTGCTAGGACTGTACAGTAAGCAAAATAAAATGTACCTCGCAGCCGAGGCAGCAGGCTGGAGCCGTGTTCAGCGAAAGTAATTTAATTAGTGTTGATCATGACTCCAGATGATGGTGATTTGATAAGGAATAATTTAGTACTTAACAGCCTTTTACATGCACCAACTCCATGTGGGAAGGTAAAGCAAATTGCACAAAATGAATGTGCTGCTTTCACTTGTGCCTGTGCCAGTGAGCTGGAAAACTGCCTGTTAGCAGACGTTCAGGCTCTCAGCGCTGTGATGAAATACCCAGCCAGTTCTCCGCACAGGGCTGTGATGTGGGAGTCTCTGTACTCCCGTTATTTAAAAATAAATAAGGGAAGTAATTTTTCATAACAGATTAACTCTGAGGAAGTAGAAAAGTTAAAATTAAAAAAAAAAAAGAGAGCAGCATGTGGTCTTTGTGTGAATATGTGATACTGGCTTTAAAAAAAAAAGTCTTCTTGCAGTTGTGTTTTAATTCTTTGATTCCAGTCAAAGAGATTACCTGCCTTTGTATTGGAGCCACCGTCCTGAAGTTGAGGCCCATCATACACATTGAATGTGTGGTGTGCATTATCTGACCAAGATATGCAAGGCGAGTCAGCAGTAAAAGTTTGCTAGGAAAAACCTGAAACTGGATGTCAGCCTGTTTTGCGATTACAGTGGAAAGCTGATTGGGCTGCATTCTGCCACAAATTTGAGAATCTTTATTCAAGGAATTTGTATAGTCTTTTATTTTAGTGTAAGTTCAGGCAGTTTTATTTAGAAAGTGTTCTTTCCTTGTTGTGACATTCACTGCTTTTCATCTCTGTTTACGTTACTGTGCTGTATGTATGTGTTTGTCTACCTGTATTACTGTTTGCTTTTCCTTTGTAATCTTTCCAGGTAATTGACTATTACCCACCAAATATTCTAGCTGGATAGCAGTTTTAGAGGAAATTCTTGTGAATTTTGTGGAAATATGTGACAAAATAACATAGTGCTGTCTTGCAGACTCAGCTGAAAGGCAGTATTAGAAGCTGTCACTTAGCAGGGTACAAGAGGACCCATTTGTGAAAGAGTTCTCTAAACGTTGCTCAACTGTGGGAAAACCCACGGTGAGATTCTGCAATTCAAATCTTCTTAATTAAAAGTTAAAATTTCTAGTTTTGAGCAACCTGGTCTAGTGCAAGGTGTCCTTGCCCATGGCAGGGGGGTTGGAACTAGATGGTCTTTAAGGTCCCTTCCAACCCAAACCATTCTATGATTCTATGATATTTACAGATCAGAGGTTTTGGTTCTGATGCTTGCTTCTTAGAGAGCATTTCGTTTACCTCCCTCTCCCCACTGAAGTCATGAGTGTGTATGCAGGTGAATTGCTATCAGAAAATATGTAGTGTGTAACAAATCGTCTCTCCTAAATTCAGGTGCAAGAGAAGGGGCAAGATGAATATAATAATGACCTGATTTTGTGCTGAGGTTGTCTAACAGGAACTGCTGCATGTACTTGGATTTCCACAGAGGCACGAGTGTGGAAAGGCTGCGATCTTGTGTGTCAGGATGTGATGTTCAAACTAGGGTGTTTTGGTGGCAACATCAGAAATCAGTGAAAAAATTATCTCTAAACCCTAGGCTTCTCAGAGTTCAAAGATGTATTTACAACTTCATTTTGTTTAAAACTTGAAGGGTGTGTTTTCAAACTGTTAAATACTTGTCTTTTAGTCTTTTGTCCTCCTAGCCACTTACTTTAGATTTGTCTATATCAGGCGAACTTTGAATTTTCTTCTGCTTTAATTTTGCTTAAGGGTGAATATGAAATAAGGAAACCTGGCTGTCTTAAACTAATATGCTGGTTAACCTTGTCTTTACCTTTGGCCTTTTTCTTAATCCAGATGAACTTGTGCTTCTAATTAATGCTGCATTTCTGTGACACTTCCTCTGTTCTTTTAAAAAAGTTGTGTTCTTTCTGTTTTCCTTCTCAATTAGTGTCTATGTCACATTTACTACTGAGTTTGCTGGGGCCAGGGTTTTATCTTGTGTATTTTTGAGAAAAATTACTGAAGCAGTTTCTTGTGTGGGTTTTTTTTTTTTTCAGATGTTACTTATAACTAAAAGTGCATGTAATCATCCAGTTTCATAAGTTTCACTGCAAATTTTCATGCATTCCATGGGACAAAAAGATTACTGATCATATATTTGAGTCTGATATATGAGAAATTTATTTTTGAGTAGTTTTTGTGGCACTCTTTGAAGTGAACTACTACTGCATTTATAGCTAAAAGCCACCTCACTAATAATACTTAGAAACATTTGGTGCATGGGAAGTATTTTGCCTCTGACAACATTTACAGTAGTTAAGCCAAATAGAAGTGGGCTGTTATTTTCCTGCTAATGAGATGGGATCCTGGCCATCATTCTATTAAACAATAAAAATGCTAATAGCCCATGTGAAGGATCTCTGGTGTCTATTTTTCAGTTGATACCCGAAGAAATATTTGAAATGTTTATTTCCTATATTGCTTTTAGTATTACAATAGTTTAATTAATTGTGTTTAATTAGCAGTGTCTAGCTTACTTGAGAAAGCTCATTGTTAATATTGTACTTGAGGTTTAATTACAGTTTCTTTCTCTTTCCAGTGGCTTTTCATGGTCTCCCTGTGAAAATCAAGAAGGAACCCCATAGCCCATGTTCAGAACTTGGCTCCACTTGCAGTCAAGAGCAACCATTCAAGTTCAGTTATGGGGAAAAGTGCCTGTACAATGTCAGGTAAAGCAATCAGGAGCATGTTTGCAGTGAGAGCTGCTGAGTTAAATGAGGACTGACTAAAGAGTAATAAAACCATAATAGAGATCTTATAAAAGTTACCTCTTCAGCAGATAACAGACTGATGAGATAATGCGTTTAGCTGATGAACACTGATGGAGTTGTTTACAGTTCTGTCAAACACTTTCATAACCATTTTAAAGCAGTGTTTTTAATCAAAATGTATATTCTTCATTCCTTCTTCATGGGAGATAGCCAGAGTTTAAAAACCTAAGGTGCAAGCATGAAATAGAAGGAAGGAGTGTAATGTTGAAAGTACTTTCAAAATGCATTACACACATTAGGAAGGAGAGATATTCATGTAACAGGCAAGAGATTGGCAGGTCTGAGCAACACAATAAGTATTTGAAAAGTATTGCAGATGTCATATGTGTGTATTTGTGGGTGATTACTATTTAAAACAGTATTTCATCAGGCTCTGCATCTTTGTTACCTATCCCAAAGCAAGTTGTCTTCTTTTACAGTGATAGCTAATAAAAGCTTTAATTATTTGTGGGTGGTGGCGGGGCTTGATACCACTGCATTCTTTATTGACTTAGCTTTCATTTGTACTTCGGTGTCACTCCTTCCTTTAGTGTCAGCACTGAAGCATTTCTTATTGACATATCAGTCTATTTTAGAATCTTTCATCTAGCTTCTGGGTTTTTATTCCCATTAATGTGCTACCAAAACTGTTAGCACTTAAAGCAATTACATTTAACTTTTTGGATAAGAAGGGTGGGGGGGAGAGGGAAAAAGAGAGAGAGAGAGACTGACAGCACCTCCAGTCACAGAGAAGGGATTTTGATTTCAAAAATCAAATGCATGCATTGATGCATTAATGGGTGCTAGGGGACCTGACAGGAAGATTCAAGTTTGTGCTTACTATCTGCCTAATGTCTGCATTTTTCCTGTTTAAAAAGAGGGATGATCAGAGTGTGCCCAAGTCCTTTCCTGATTTGGGACACCTTTGAAAACAGCATCTATGTATTTGAAGGACTAGCATTTTATTTTTGAGAGGCAGGTGGAAACTGTTGGGAGAGGCTGCTGACATCCTAGTGTGGGTAGCTAAGCCAACATACCATTGTTTTTCTGGGTCAGATCCCTTCCCTCTAGCTGTATTGTTTTACTGTCTCACTTTGTGGTTTGTGTAAGCTCTAAAAAAGAGTCTTGACAGGCACTGCTGGCTCTTTGTGCTCTAGTCCAGGTGCTTATACTTTTATGTGTTTTGTATATCTCCTATTAGAATGTTACTGTAAAACCAAATCCTTTAAAAATACATTCCTGTGCCCCAGAGAAGAAAATGCTGTGTTGAACCACTTGGCTCTAACATGATTTTTTCTGTGTTCTTTGCAATGTAAAATACAGAATTCCTCTGCCCCAAGCTGGTTAATAAGGTAACTATAATAGAAAGCTTATAAATGTGACACTTGGGGTTTTTCTTCTGAATGTAGATGCTACTTTTTCTTTTCCCCCCTGAGAATAACCTGACCTTCTTTCCTCTTGCCTTATTCATAGTGCCTATGATCAGAAGCCACAAGTTGGAATGAGGCCCTCCAACCCACCAACGCCATCCAGCACTCCTGTGTCACCCCTGCACCATGCCTCCCCAAACTCTACTCAGACTCCTAAACCCGACCGGGTTTTCCCTGCCCATCTCCCTCCATCCCAGTCCATTCAAGACAACAGCTTCCCTATGGACCACAGGTAAACCACGAAACACACAAGGGACCCATGCAGAGGGCATTTCAGTTATAATTGAAAGTCTCTTATATAGGGTAGCACTGGTTTCGTGTCCACAGATACTCCCTTTCAGGTTGGGGGATCAAAGCAAAAGCCAGCAAGGTTCAGAGTGTCAGAATTATGTGCGTTTTATGAAAGGCTGGCACCTGACTTGATGGTCTTATGTAGTAGTTCATGACCTACAGAGTTTTAATGACCTGCTTCTGTCTTGTGAGGGTGATTACAGGGTGCCATATAATCTCATCCAGACTCCCTTTCCCACAAAAGGTTGGACCAGATAGTCTTTCAGGGTCCCTTGCAACTGGGCTATTCAGTGATTCCCCGACTCACTTGAGGCTAGTAAGCTCTATGAGGTAATGAAGTCACTAGCAGACATGATCCTGGCTATAAATATCTGGCCTCATGCTAAGCAGTTCACCTATCTAAGAGATAAGTGGCCACGTTACAGTGTTACTGCTTCAGAATATTCTTTGGAATGTTGGATCATTTTTCCAACCCCTTTGGAAATATAGCTTTTTAAACAAACTAAGATGCCAACATAAACTGTGCTTAAATAACATTAGTCTGAGTAAAAGCCACAAAAGCTGGAGACTAGAATTAAAGCTTAAACTGTCCTTAAGTCACCCTGTTTTGTTCTGATATGTTAGAAATCCTCAGACAACTGGCTCTCTTTCTTAGCTCAGTTTTGTAGTAGATATGCTTAGTGGATTTCCCTGATTTTTGAAACCAAACACTTATTTATGGAATTCTATTTATTCTAGCCTTTATTACATGAACCTTTTTTTGTCTACTGTGTTGTGTGATTGCTCAGAGCATTTAAAATTTTAGCAGTATGTAAAGAGATCTGTATGTTCAGAAACTCAACTTAGTGCTTAAACATTAGCAAATAAAGAAGCACCTGAAAGGAAAATCACAGTTGTTGGGTTTGTGATTTGCATGCTTCTGCTCTAATAAGGGCTGTTATCTCCAGGGATTTGTGCAGATCACTTCAGAAGGGGATTGCTAAGGTTTATATTGCTGTTTTGTGCGAGGATGAGATAGTTTTAAATGTCGCCCAAGGTTCTCTACAAGCCCTCCTGGCAGTGAGGAAGCACTGAATTGGCCCCTTCAGCTGCCATAGTCACCGTCTTTTCTCCCTCCGTGGGCTGTGGTCTAACCACGCAGGCCCCCAGTGAAAGCCAAGCAGCAGTTTTGATTACAGGATGGTGGATAAATGTGTTCCTGTGTACACACCAAAGTCAAGTTGTCAGGAGACTGAAATCTCCAGAAGCTAAATGATTCTGTGCAGAGAGCTGTAATAAGACTTTTCAGATGAAAAAAATCTTTTGTTTTAGAGCAACTTGTAAAGAGAGTACTGAAGCTGTACATCTTCCCTAATTTGAGTATTTATCGAGATCTGCATAAACCTTAGTATATTTTTTCTATACATTTAACAGTTGCTCTGCATAAGTATTGCAGGTTCATTACATGATTCTTCTTCCCCTCACCCCTACTTTGATATTCCTGTTCTCTGGGGCATTTCGCACTAATGCTTCCCTTCATGATAGAACACCATGTGTTCTAGTGAAGTGCAAAATAGCTGATTCAGGCCAAAAAAAAAAAAATAATCTCATTTTTCTCCTTTTTTTTAAAGAAAGGTACAATTATATTGGAAGATATTTTTCCCTGTTTTCTTATTTAGTTCGAGTCTTTTCACTTCCAGTTGTTTGAAGCCAATGCGTGATTCATATTTTTGTGAAATTCAAATATTCCCGATTTACAAGGTGATGTTACTACACTGATTGTATTCAGAAAATGTCACTTAAACAAATGACCTACCTATGTGAGTTCGTGTGTAACTCAAGGCGTATTTGTTTGGAATATGCATTGGTGGAAGAAGACAGCATTAGTATCTAGAACACACAACTCACACATCTTCATACAGGGCATGAATATTTGAACGATAAGTGGTCCTAACAAGTACCAACAGGAATCAAATCCACTTGTATAAACAAATGGCTTGATTCCATACAAAGCTTCCAGTACAACAAGTATTATTAACTTCCTTTGAGGCTTTGTGAGTGAGCCTGTTTCTTATTTTAACTTCAAGTTGCAATTTTCTGATTCACTCCTTGACAGTTCTTAATGATAATTTCTGCTTCTTTTTTTGGCTAATGAAAAAAGGAAAAGAGGGAAATGAATGCAGTGCCAGTCAGCCTAACTGTTTCGTAATACATTTGAGTTTCTAAGTTTGTTTTCTGCAGGTGTAGGTGGAATTGCAAAACTCAGTGTTACAGTGAAGTACTCTTTCTACTGAAAAATATAATATTTACAGCAGCATTTAAAAAAGATAAAATCATTTTTTCTCCACTACTACATTGTAATAGTTTCTATCTCTGTAGCTCCCACAGTATTTGTAATTAAGCTATGACAGTAAATATTTGTCAGTCCAAGTTCACAGCAGTGTTATGACAGACATTAGTGGAGTTTAAATTGTTTGAGAAACATGTACTACGTATGAGTTGATAGTCAAGGATTGTATTGCCCGTGCAATCAAAACCCTGCGTTCTTTTTCACTTACCCAGTTTTCTCAAAGGAAATGTCTGCTTTTGCTTGCATGAACCAAAGTTGTTTCAGATCCAAAGTACAGGAAGCTGAAGAATGATTAGTTGTTGATTTTTTGTAGTGTGACATGTGACAGTGGGAAACTTACACAGGCACAGGTGTTTGTTTTTGATGTGGGTTTTGTTTATGGTGAGTGATAACACAACTAGTAAGGATTTTGTTGCAAGAACATTCCATCTGCTGTGGATTAGCATCCTTGTATCCTTCTCTATGCTTCTGAATCTGCACATACCCAAGTAATTACATTCAGGCCTTCTAGTTCAGGTAGATGTTTTATGGAAGCAACAACAACCATAGGTTCTCAAGTAGCATTGCATGTAAATTAAGTTAATTTAAAACTGAATTCTCAGATTTTATGCCTAAAGAATGTGATCTGGGAGTTGTGAATGGCAGCGTGGCTTGTGTGGATGACTTCTTTCATGTAGAAATGACCAAGGGAATAAGTTAAGGCACAAGGGAAATTCTTAGGCATTGTTTCACATAGAAAAATATGCATCCTCTCCTTTTTCTGGGGGTGCTTACATTACCTTCCTATTTGAGCTGCAATGCAGTGCCAGCCTTGCAGGTAGATCTCCCATGGCTCCATCCTCGAGAGAACTGTGGACTTTTACCCTGGAATGATTCCAGATGTTAGGGCAGACAATACTCTTCATTCTAAATGTTTGTGTGTGTTGTGGTCAGAATGGCTTCTGTGTAACACTAAGAATGGTAAGAGCAAATTAGAGTACAAGCAATAAATTGCTAATACTTGTGAAAGAACAAAGCTCTGCCTAAGCCTCCTTCATGTTACGGGGTAGGGTGGGAGTCTTTCTACTGGTTTGAAGCTGGTGTGTTTCCTCTTTGCCTCTTCTGCTGAGAGAAGATATTGAAAGCAAAGAAGATGGTGGTGGGGACTGGTCTTAAAGCTGACATTAATAAGGTGGTTTTGGTTTTTATTTGTTTCTTTGCTTGTTACTGTTCTACAATGCAAGGGATCCTGATGGGAGTGCTTGACATTGTCGTAAGCAAAATGTTTGCTACTAAGAAAGTAATAGGGCCACTAACCATGACCTGTGAAGATCTTTGGGAAGTGAAATGTAGCTCAAGTTCTTTACATGACCTTTTTGTGTCATAGATTTCGTCGCCAGCTTTCTGAACCCTGCAATTCTTTCCCGCCTTTGCCTGCAATGCCAAGGGAAGGACGTCCAATATATCAGCGCCAGATGTCTGAGCCAAACATCCCTTTCCCGCCTCAAGGTTTTAAGCAGGAGTACCACGATCCAGTTTATGAACACAATGCTATGGTTGGCAGTGCAGCCAGTCAAAATTTTCCCCCTCCTCTGATGATTAAACAAGAACCTAGAGATTTTGCATATGATTCAGGTAGGTGAGACTCTGCTTTACTTCTTTGTAGTAAATAAATGAGTCCAAGCTAGTGCTATTGATATTTTGATCGTATGAATTGAAACTTGTTCTTCTGGGTTTCGGTCCCCTGAAGTAATTTATGTCTGCTATAGCTTATGAAGTAGTAAGATTGCTACATAATACAGCGTATCTTGTGCCGCTGTACTTGCTCTGCAAAGGATTTTGCTTTCCAGAACTCTCTGTCCAGACAGTGCACGGGTTAAAGAAGCCAAGGAAGAAAAAATCAGGGGTGCAAAATTGAACTTTGCTTAAGAGTGAGCTTGTTCTGTACTATCTCATTTCTGACCTCTGAATTTGTGTGCTCTGTTTTACGAGCTCTTTCATTTATCTGCCAGAAATAAAGGACTCTTTCTCCTCTTGCTTCCACTACTTTAAATCAGGAGTAACTCCGCTGAAGTGGGGTTTATACAGCTATAAAACCAATGAGGGAGAAGAATCAGCCAAATTGTTGTCAGCTTCTCAGTTTGTGCATACTGCTGTGTTTTGTGGAAGTACATAATCTGTGATGCCAGGTTGCTGATGTAGAGAATACGCTGTTGCTATTAATAATGTTTATTATGATTGTGCTTGTAGGGCAACTGGAATGGAGCCTTATTGCTCTACAGACGGTACATAACAGAGGAGGTGGTGGCAGAGCCTGCTTTCAATAGCTTCTGGTCAAAATAGAAAGATAAGCGGTAGAAAGGACAAAACCATAAATCAAGGAAATAACATTGTAAATGTTTGCCACAATTTAAATATAATATTTATATTGCACTTGGGAAAAGAGAAAGAGAATTAAGAAAGTAAAAAAGTTTTCGTGATGAGTACCAAATAACAAGGAGAAGGAAGGAAGCTGGAAAGGTGGTACAGAGAGAAGCTGAGGTTAAAACAACATATAGTGGGCTAGGTGGGATAAACAGCTGATCAGTACCAAGCTGAGAAAATGCAGTCAAAACATATTTTTCAGTTCCGGTGTGATTTCTGCAGCTCCTCCTCATTCTCTGCCTCTGTCCTGCTTTGTGTATGCCACCATGTTGAAAGGGAGGGATTTGTGCGTCCTTACCATGCTGGAGGAGAGTACATCTTTTCACACGTACACTGAGTTGGGCAGGGGGAATGAGTGGCCCTGTCTGACTTAAATCTGACTCTTTTCTGGGTGCCGCAGTACCTGCAGTGCTTTCCTGCTGGTTTAGCCTCTGGTTAGATGCTTTTGCAGTTTTATTTCCCAAAGGCTACATGGCAGCTGAGGTGAAGTCTCCTTTGAAAGTTTAGCCCGTGACAAACTATCTTCCAATTTGATACACTGGAGAATTTGTTTTATTGTGTTTTCTGTATCTAACATCGTCTATTTAGGGGGCTATTTTGTGGTATCATTGGTGTAAAGTGCTTGGGTTTTAATTTATCTCTATGTTAGAACAGGGGAATTTGGAAAGTAGATCTGCTTTTTCCTTTCTTACTCTGGACAAGTAAAGAATCAATCCTTATGTAAATTTTACTTAGGCCTATCTATACAGGTTGGGGATCAACAGTGAAATAGTTCTCCAAGTTGAAATATAAGACAAGATGAAAATGAGTTCAGATGTAGAATTAAAACTGTTCATTGATGAAGGTTCTGAGATATGTGGCTTTGGCAGTCATGTATCTTTAGTCTTACAAAGCAGCATGGGAGAGACTGCCTGCATAGTTAATGTGGCAATGGATAATAAATAGGGGACTGCAGCTTCAGGCACTGCCAGTCCCTTGCAACCTTCACAAGCATCACTATTCATCCTGCTAAATTAATGGGTGAAAAAAGGCCCTTTGTAATCGTCCTTTATATTTGGCTGGGAAATGGGATCTCCTTATTGTATACTATTACTTTAAATCTGAGTTGGCTGCTAGCATTCATCTGTATTTGGAATATTATTTATGGGGAAAAAAATAAAGAAAATTTTATTCTGAAAGGAAGATGTGCAAACTTGTATCCAATCTTGTCATGCCTTTTTAATTTTTTGGTGCCAGAAAGAACAACATTCCACATTTTAGTAATGACGATCAAGCAAAATTGTTGTTTCTTTTGTAGATGAATAATTAGTTTTTAAAAATGTAACCAGTGGCCATGAAAAATTAATCTGTTGGTATCAGGAAGTACTTTTATTGGCCTCAGAATCACTGCATTTAAGTTGACACATCTGTACACTCCATAAATTGCAGTCAACAACTGTGGTCTGTTGATATTTTGTCTTGTTACCATCTGTTCTCTAGAAACCATCATTTTCCATCCTTGCTAAGAGTACATTAAATAACCCCTTAGGAAACATAATGTATTTGTCACTCAGTCATTGATTTCATTTTTCACCTATGGCTGTTCAGGGAAGGAGGAATGCCAGAGTGAAAAGTCTTTTTTTTGCATGGTATTTTATTGCAGCTCAGATAAGAATATAGAAACATATTTAAAAAGTTCATTGTAATACACTGAGATGTTCCTTTTGGGATGTTTTTGAAAGAGCCTCATAAAAGTTCATTGCTTTTGTGCACTATACTTTTATACTTTGTGGGAAGCTGGTGAATGAAAAGCATTATTATGGAATGATTATAACTCTATTAAAACATGGCATTAATTATGACATGGGAAATGGCAGATCAATTAGTTGTAATTGTAATTGCAGGTATGCAATTTCTACTGCAGAATGTTTGAGATAATGGAAAAGAAAAATGTCAACAGAGTAGAAGCTCTTCCTTTTCTGTCCACACTTGTAGAAGTTACAGTGCATCATGCATGTTTGTTCAATCAGACCTTATTTTCTGCCTCAGACTTTTTTTCCATGGCTGCCAGCTAGACGTAACTAGTACTGAATGCTATATTTAGTAACAAAGATGTAGCCACATACAGAGCTTTGCGATTTTGCATCATTACTGAATACAACCCAGAAAGCTTCACAAGACTTTTGGTTATTTCCTGTACAGTTAGAATTCAATTCACGTATTCAGTTATTTAAGCAAAAAGGCCACACTTGAGATACTTAATCTATTCTGGGCTTAATTTTGAAACAGGATCTTTGCAGGCTTGATCCTCCCTACCTAATGTGGTGTTTTTGCAAATTTACTAGGATACAACTCTAGCTATGCAATTAACATTAAAAGTCTACTTTTAAAATGACATCTTAAATTGTTAAGTTTAGATCTCATACTCTGTTTTGCCAAATTGAAATAGTTACTCTGATTGGAGAGCTCTTCTGTGACCATGTCTTTGACTGGGAACTTTGGAATTTGTCACATAGTGTTGTTAGGAGATAAATAGAGAAGGAATTGTTGCTTCTACATTATAGAAGCATGTACTTACTACCGATTGTCAGGAATATATCTGTTGATATCTGGATAGATTCAGTCTTTCTTGAGTAGGTGAGAGGCATTAGCAGGGTTATGCTCAGTTACATTTCAGGGTAGGCTCACAATTAATACGTTTGAATGGACCTTAGAAAAATTAAATTCTGTCCCTGTCGCTTCCAAAGTTTTCTTCCAAGATACTGGTCACATCACTTAAAGAATGAATTATCCAGACAGAATTATTAGTATCCATATCTTGTTTTGTGGGTTGCTGATCCTTTTAATTCCCAAGCCTCACAAGCAATTAAGACTGTGTTGGCACATTAGACTGGATGAGGAACTGTCCCTCTGTTAAGAGAGATGAGCTTAGCTCCTAGGGACTTCGTTTGTCTTTCTAGGTGATGTAGTACAGGAACATTGGATTAGGGTCCCTCTGCAAAAATGAGAAATGCATAATACAAAAGATCTTGCAGAAGTCATGTGACTATTTTGAAAAATAGTCCTGTCCCTGCCCATGGAAGGGGGGTTGAAACTAGATAGTCTTTAAGGGTCCTTCCAACCCAAACAATTCTGTGATTCTATACAAAAACTTTGTAGGGGCTGGAATGGGCTTTGGGGCCTAAAATTGACCATTCAACTGTAGTAATCTTGAAGTCATCATCTCCTTTCTTGAAATGTTCTGCCTCATTAAGTAGCCAGCTTCCAGTCTCTGTAACAAATGTCACTGGGACTCCACCTGCAAAGCTGTTTACTGTATGGCTCTCCCTCCCCCAAACAACTTTGATCTGTGCACTCAAGAGACAAGACTGTCCAGACAAAAGGCTGTATCATAATTCATTTGCAGTGAAGGAGTTGTATCAAGGTTGCCGAGGAAGTTGTAATTAGGACAATTCTTAATCTCCAAAGTCTACCCTCATAGGTAAAGGATGTTTTTAAGCATTCTACCATCCATGTTATAAATGCGTATTTACGTAATGACTGGGAACTGAATAAAAAGCAAGAGTCCTTTCAAATACCTGATGTGTAGGTTTTTGAAAAGCAAACCAATGCAAATTGATATGGAAAAAGTTACTTAGTAGCACATTCTTCCCTGGAGATCAGCTGACAAGTCCTTGAATTTGGGAGTTTGCAGAATAACCTAAGAGAATATGTTGAATTAATATTTTAAGGAATACCCCACACACACTAGATTTATTTATTGGAAGTTTACTTATTTGCAGATTGCTTTTTTTGTTTGTTTCTTTCCTTTTTTAAATGACAGTTGGATATTCTATTGTACTTGTTGGAGGTAAGGTTTAGACATTTGGAGATACTAATATGTAGAAAAAAGGGAAATCTTAGCTGTTAGTCAGAGTCAGTGCAGGTTTGCTTTTTTCAGGATATTCTCTAGTGCATTGACCAGTGCAGCATTTAAAGTGACACAATTCATGATTCTTCTCCTACTGTCTTTATTATATTGGCTAATTTTTGTACGGTGCTTTGAAAATGTAAAACACTTTTTGAGTGCTAAGTATTATTACTACAATTATTCCCTTGGGAGATTATTTCACAGACTAATAGACTTCACAGTTAAGAAATATCTCTTGGTTGTAAGCCTAAATTTTCCCTTTGATCAGATCCATTCCCTTGCTCACAGCTACACCTCTTTGACTCATCCTAAACAATTCCTT